AGTGCATGGTTAATATGGGAGTTCTAAAAATTAATGTCTTAGTGTGTTTCAACCACAATGTATGTGAGAATGGAAAGAACAAACAAACAGAGGATAAAAATACAAGATTAAGAAAAGAGTTGTTGAAAGAAACTTTTAAAAGAAATAAAATATTCATGCATTTTTGGCCAGGAATAAGATTGGCTTTATTTTCCTAGGTGGCATCACTTATACCTTCAACGGGAGTAAAGAAATGGGAAGAGGCTGAGACCAACCAATATGAATACTGATAGAAAGAAAACTAAAACAAGATCTCAAACCTAAAAATTTTAGCTGGTCCTAGCCCTGTGGAATGAGTGTGAGTCATAAGGTTTGGCACAGTGCTGCTTTTCAAGATCATTTTCAGAAGCATTGGTCATCTTTTTATCTGACATCACCTCTTAGAAGCAAGGCGGTCCACTGTGATTTTGTCAGTTTTCAAGTAGCTGAATGCTCCAAAAATTAGATTTCATAATGATTTCTCATCAGCAAAAAGACTATCCAATATCCTTGGATATTATGAAGACAATAGGCTCTTCCTTGGGGGTCTGTGAGGGAGAACTGTTGGTGGGAATGTGCTACAAGCAACAGTAGAAGCTCCCAGTATCCAGCCTGTCAGAGCTCAGCTGAGCTTGGAGATTTGTGTCCAGGGCAGTCCCACGTGGTAGCTGAGCTCTTGCCTCTCTCTAGGGAAGAAACAGTGAGAGAGAAGTTTGAGGTAGATTATTTTCCTTCAGAATTATCACCTAGTTCTTTGTAAGAGACTACTACATAGCTTTATTGCCTCCCTCCTGAGATCTCTCCCTAGACAGATGCTGAAATTTTGTTCTTGATTGAGTTGTTTACTTTGATGGAGCTTGCCTTTTCAGTGCCCAGGATAACATACATAAGCTAGTAATCTGTTTTCAAATGGAATGAAGGCAATCACACATACCCTTGATTTCTCATTGATGGTGATAAGATTTTAACTAGTAATGAGAAAGATTGCTTTTAGCACCTGGTTGTTCCCCATTAGTTACATCACCGTTCTGTCAGTCACATTCACACATTGTTGTGTACAGTGTGTCACGTGTACCACGTCTTCTGTTTATGAAGTGCCTGATGAAGCTGGACCAGAAGCTTCCTGGGGAGCTGAAACCTGTGGTGACAGGGTTTGGCTTTGGCCTGCTTCACCCTGCATTTTTTCTTGTTCTGATGGAAACAAATGCAATCACAAAATTTATCCCTGACATAAATCTTAATGTGATGAATAAGGGGTTGACTTGCAGGAAGCTGTAAGAAAATAGTGTTTCTGCTCATTCAGTACTCTAGTTTTCTCTGAGTTAGTCTTATGGTAAAATACAAAGCAGATAGAACAGACTAGAGAAGCAGGTGTGTGGGCAAGAGACAGCTTTGAAACCTTTGATACTCTGGGAAAAACAGACTTTTACCTAAAGTGATGCTCATTGTGATGATGTTTTGTGCTGGAGTTTTTTCTCTTTGGTCCTGTTAATGTTATATAGGAAGGATCCCAGGAGAGTATCAGTGCCAATACTGACAAGTATTTAGAGGCTTTCTTAAACCTCTTATTTCACAGAAAACTATGAAGTTTCTGGATGGTCTGTCCTTTCCTAGCCTAAGCCTTTCCTAAGAAATCCAACAATTTTCCACTTGAAAGTAGCTACGGGTAAACTCACACACTACTTTCACATAAGATGAAGGGTTTGACAAGAGTAGTGAGAACAAAGGAATTCCAAATTAAGCCCGCTCCATATTTAAACCCGCCTCTCCCAGCCCCCTTGTTGCACAATAGCAAGCTTTCCTAGTGCAAGTAGCGTATTGATATACTTCCAAAAAGAATTCCAGTTAGCTGAGAGATGGGATTAAATGGATTAAATAACCTCCTCGTTTTTCAGTGGAAAAAAAAGGGATTTGGTTGAAAGCACTTACCAATGCAAACTTGAATGATTTTGGGCTAGGCTGGTCTTCTGGGCAACCTCAGATTGCCTTGCAAATTAGTGTGCCCTGTCCTGGGGAGGCCCTGGGTGTTGGTGGTGGCTGTCTGTTCGTGCCAACGCGCACGTGCGGGGAGGTGGGCACCCGAGTCTGCGCTGTACCCGCGGCCCTTTCGGCAGACTGCGGTCGTGGGCCAGGAGGTGGGCTATCAGCTGGGTGGAAACACTACAAAGAATACAAAGTGGTGCAGAGTTCTCTGAGGCTAGTCCGTCTCCACTTAGTGCTAAACTGGTGTGCCCTGCTCAGCCAGACCCGAGCCCAGGGAAAGCCTGAGAAACTTGCCGTCCACCAGCATTTTTGGTGGCTTCTTCTGTTTTGCTGCTCTGTTGTGTGGTCACTAGGTGGTACCTTTATCTTCTTCAGCACAGACACTTTGCATGGTATGGAAACCAAATTTCTCCTCCTTTTAGGTCTTCTCGTGGACTTATTTCCCTAAGAACTTATAAGGCATCAGCTTTGTACAAAGTCTATGCAGATTCTCCCAAACTTATTCTTCCTCACGTTGAAAGCTGATTTCTCCTCAGCCCTGCCCATCATGTCATGCTTTCATTTTTCTGACTCCTGAAGACAAGAGGTAGAAACATGAAGCTACACACCAAGGTCTGTCAGCAGCTGATAACTTTGTGTGGCAGATAATTACTGGAGTCATGATTTGTATGTGAACAGCATGACTGAGTCAATAGCAAACCTATCTTCATCTTGGTCGTTTCATGGCATCCGTTGTAATTCTTTGCTCTGTGAAACTTATTGGTCACTTGTTCAAGTGGCAGCAGTAGTGTTTTTTTCGTGTGTTACTTATTTTTCATCTATATCCAAAAGACCTATTCTGTTGCTGGAAAAATACAGATACTACCAGATACTTAAGGCAACAAAAAAAAAGAAGTGGTGGGAGAGACTGCGGGATCAACATTAGTGCTAGCAGATGAAAATTGTCAGGAATCCCTAAGACTTTCTTTGTCTTCTTTCTAGTATGCTAATTTGCTCTAACCTGTTGCTGTTAAGAAGAGTCACATCTAAGAGTCTAATGCATCCCAGATCCCTCTCACTTACATCCAGTCTAACTGTTCTTAAGTATAAGCAGTGGAGTAATTTTGTATTGTGTGCATGTTTTCCCTTTAAAACCAGACTTCTTGCTGTCTTTGATTTCAATATTAATTTGGAAAGCAGGTACCAAGAGTAAAATTTGTTTCACATTTGTTTCAAATTAAATCCCTTTATCCCCAACTGAAGAAACTGCAGAAAAAAAAAAGAGAAGAAAAAAAAAAAAAAAAACCAAAAAAAAACAACCCACCACCAGGGGAGATTGATGAGCTTATCATGACTGGATCTCATCCTGATCAAGGGCCAAATCTTTTTAGCATTGAAAGGAAGTAAAAACAAGAATTAAGAACTTTCTCTGATTACCACTAGGATAGTAATGTTCTCCTCTTTCCCCTACCTGCAAAGAAATGCTTCAAAGCAGCCATTTATTCAGGCAGTGTAATTCTTATCTTTTTCCTGACTGCCTTGCATCTTTTATTTTACTTTAACACTTAGGCCTGTGTCTATCCTACCTGATTTTTTTCACCTGAGACACATGTCTTCAGAGAGTGGTGAATGATTGCTTCCTGAGGAGGAGTGAAGAGAGCTGGGCACACCCCTGCAGCCTGCCTAAGATACGAGCTATTGCCTTGCTGTAGCCCCTCTTGCTTGCTTTTTTTCCGTCTGCATTGGCTGTGTAGGGTGACTTTGCTTCTAACTTAGTGTAACAGATTAGATAAGGAATATAAGTACCTAAAATTAGTACTTCATTTTTTTTTTTAACTGTAAGTCAACCAGCTAGAGCAAAGGAAAAAGGAGGAGACAATATAAAAGAGAAAACTGGCAGCTTAGCTGTAGGTGTACTTCACTGCTTGCCTAGCATTCATGTCTCTGAAAATCTGCCCTCAAAGAAAATGATGCTGCACTGTGCACAGCCTGTGCAAATGTTAGCAAACGTTTGGAATGTGTTTGGAAGATTAATAAAGTCATAATTTTCTTCATCCTGTGCTTTTTTCTTCCCCCCGTAAGGCGGTCTGCTAAGGGCTCATCAGGTTGTGCATTAGATAATTGAGTTGTTAAGCCAACAGGCTGTGGTGAAAGGTGTTACATCAGTGATTTATTTTTCATCCCACTGTGCTTTGATCTCCTGCTATAAAGCAGAAGATCTAACAGTGGAAACTTTTGAAGATGATAGATGAATTTTGCTAATCCACTTTTCATAATCCTTACAAAAAATGTCTGTCTTTATCAATCAGGAAAGATTTAATAGCTGTTGTCACTAGAAAGTTTCGTATCAGGATTCCAAACTACAGAATTACTGCCATGCAATTTTTTTTACTAGCATGTTTTGAAATGTTACTCTAAATTCTTTAAAATAAATGCATAAAGATGCTTCTTTGTTAACCATGCTTTATTCGTTGTACTTTCTCACTAAATACAAAACTCATTTGCAAGGGAACACTGTGCAATGGTGAATATTTGCTGTCCTTATTGATGTTAATTACCTTGCTTTAATTTCATGTTACTGGAATTCACTGGAACAGTCAGCTTAATCCAAATATACTAATTCCAAACATTATATGGTGCTGAAACAACTGGTAAAAGTCTTCCCCCACCATATGTAAAGCATTGTCATTGATAGACACGTTGTCAATGCAATAGTAAGCACTATGTTAAATACTGTTTGCAGATTTTGGAGCAATAAACTGTGGCATCTTCGAGGAAGGAACAGGTGCCTGTGCTTCTTCCTGGATGAAGTTTGTGCTTATATCATCCAGATGAAGTCAGTAAAGTTACTGAAGTTGCCCAGGTTTTTGTCCAGCACGATCTTGCCCCAAATATCTTTCATTAGTTGAGCTCCCCATGTCTCTGGAAAACCCTTCTTACAGAAAATTGCCAGCATTGCCTAGAATTATAAAAAGTATTCACCAGATCTGACTGTATTTTATCTCTTTTCTTTACAATAGCTTTGGGCCAGATAATGCTCTATGTTGATGGCATGAATGGAGTAATAAATCATAATGAAACCATCCAATGGCTGTACACACTTATTGGGTCAAAGGTAAGACACTCCAAAATTCTCATTTTAGATGTTTTTGGTATTTTTTATATGCATTTTATTTGCATCACATATGCATTTAGGGTATAAACAGAGAGTGTGTTAGGTTCTACATGATTGCATAACACTGCATGGAAACCATGTCTTTTTACAAATGCATGTCTTGCAGTTGTAGTTCCCAAGACATTCTTTGGAACCACTTTTTGGGGTGTTTTTTTCTCCTTTCCATTCTATTAATACAAATCCTTCTCTACAGTTTGACCATTCTATATTGCTCAGCTTTGCTGACCACTGCGGGAGTACAATTCAGATTACTTCCTTTGCAGAATAGACTATTTCAGCTGGAAGAAACCTATGGTGGTCACCTAGTCCAACTGCTTGACCACTTCAGGGCTAACCAAAAGTTAAAGCATGTTATTAATAGTTCAGATGCCTCTTAAACACTGACAGGGATGGAGTGTTGTCCACCTCTGTAGGAAGCCTGTTCCAGTGTTTGACCACCCTCTCTGTAAAGAATGCTTCCTGATGTCCAGTCTTCATGTGCATGAAGAGCCCTAGAAGACAAAATCTGGTGCCTGCCTACAGGGGATTCTTTGTTTGTCCCTAAATACAAGGAAGCAAAAGCTGAAGGGCAGAATATATGATGCTTGGGTTGGTCGTCTCCAGTGGACTAGTGATTTATACAGTGCACAACCCACTTATAAAGCCATCTTTGATGGAAGGTGAAAAGGAAATAGAAGGCAGATGTTGCTGATAAGCCATCCTGAAGGACCACAGGGTAGGTAAAACTACAAATACCCCATTCTCCAGTCTGTTGGCTCTCCAACTTTAGAAATTTTATTAAGGCCTGCAGGGAACGCTGCTGCTGCTCTTCCCGTGTAGACCTGCTTGGGATAGATGTGCAGGACATAATAGCTAGAAGAGGAGATGTTAGCTATTGTTAACAACTCGAAAGTTCCTGTAAGTGACAGAGTTGAATCCATAGTTAGAATTACTGAGGAATTTCCATGAACTTTTTCTCAAGTGATTGAGCTGCAGGAAGTTGCTATTGGATCCTGCAGTAACGCAGAGATGCTACTGCTCTCCCCCTTTTCCCTGACAGCTTTTATGACAGAAGGAGAAAAAATGTTCCAGGGGTCCTTTTTCACCACTACAGAATTTTTTCTACAGTGTGCAAACTTCACTGCTGCAGCATGTTATCAAGTCAAAGAACAGATGCTGCAGTATTGAAAGAACTGATTTATTCTGGGTGGACATACCTTTAGTGGTAGATATGTAAAAGTAAGATAATTACAGTTATCAGATCTCAGACTTATAAGGCATGGCTCGTGATTGTGAGAAGACGAGAAACTTTTCCCCCATGTAAAATATTCAGCCCTTGTCTGAGCATTACACCAGGCACTCTGCCCTCTTGAAACAGGGAATGCTAGCCATGGTTGGAAAAGCGGCGCAAGATGTGAGAGAAATGGTTTGCTTGGCATAAATCCTCATTTGCTGCAGAACAGATAAGAGACAAGCAAAAAAGGAAAAAAAGTATTTCCATGCCCATGATTATTTCAATTGTTTAATGCATCTAATGGAAGAGGAATGCGGAAGAAGCACAACTGTATTGCTGCCTTGCAGGTTAAATTCTGTCTAGATTTTCTTGACCAGAATGAAATTTCTTTTCTCAAGTCCTTAAGCTCGTTTCTCCCTCCCCCATTGCCAGCCCGAATGAGTATCTCCATGTCCTGGCTCAATGCCTGCTTCTGAGGAATGCAGGCAATGTGCTTTGAGTAGTTTGGTTTCAGGTAGCATCAAAGTTGCTTTTTCATTATTCTTTGACTGTCTTGGAAAAGATCTAAGTCCCTGTCTGTGTGCCAGAAGTTAACCAAAGGTATGGCAAGCTTATTGTCAGTGTGGTGGCACGGCTGCTTTGTGCACTTCAAGGTGGTTTTGACTTTCTGTGAAAAATGAACCCCTGGAATCTGCAATGCACCTATGGTCTAATCTGTAGCCCTGCTATGCTGGTGCCTTCTCTGCAGCTAAAGCAGTGAAAAATATGTTAACACTGCTGAACGAAGAAAGGAGTAGTGAAATTGCCAATTAAGTCTTGGGAGAAATCCCTCTAATAGGATGCAGGAGGAGTACAGCCATTCAATTGCCACAGCTGCAACACGTGGTTCCTTGCTTTCTCAGAAGCTCTAACCAGGTTTAATATACTCAGCAGGGGAGGTTGTTTATTGACATTATATTCCTTCCTGTTGCTAGTTCTGCTGCAGTATGCCCCTCTGAATATCAGTGGATGTTTATATAGATGGACTGTCAGAAGTTGCTGATAATTTTACCGCTGCTGTCTAAATTTGCTCTAGGTAAAGTTACTAGAGAGGTGGTTAAAATTCCAACAGTGTGACTGCACTGGTGCTGCTGCCTTTACACTGGGTAAAAGGCACCAGTAATGCCAGGGTGAGGAACTGAAAAGCAGGAAGAAAGTTCATCTCTAAATGACTTGTTTGTTAGTGGGCAGAAGGAAACTTCTGTTTTCAAGTTGGTATTCTATAGGCACTAGATTAGAAATTATCATTCTTGGCCATATTAATTAAAGAGAAGCACATTATCAGCATATCCCAGACTTGGGGCCACTGCCGATTCTTTGCAAGGCACATCCAGCAATCTGTGACCACATCAGCGTGTGCCACTGGCCTTTCACAGGCTGGCTGTAGACTGTTCTCTGGTCATCAATGGCTAATACATCCCGGGGGGGCAAAAAAAAAAAAAAAATTTAAAAAAATTACAGCATAATCCCAGTTTAACTGTACTTTACTGCTGTTTGATCATTACTTACATAGGCAGCCATTCATCAGTCTTTCCCTGTTTAACAAAGCATTCAAGTATGTACTTAATTATAGGTGTATGGTTACATGCTGTTGGCTTCCAGAGAGCTTTAATACATAGCTGAGGTCAGCAGTCTACTGCTGCGGGAGTGCAAAAGAGGTCTATAGCAGGGCCAAGGCTTTGACCATCTCACATAAATTGGAAGGTATGTAAATAGGAAATATCTGTCAACCAAGTTTTCTTTTAGCTTTCATTGGTAGCATGGAACTTTCAGTCATGAGAGTTAACTTTCTAAAAGAGAAAACTAGGAGTCAGTGAATTAACAGTGCTTTCAGAATTTCAGAATTGCTTCTTAATTTTCACTTGGTTTTTGAAGTGAGTAAGCTAACCTGTCAAAGATGCTGCCTTACCTGACCACGTTCCGTAATGCAGGTATTTCAACCTAAGAGCATCTAGGAACAGCTCCTTCACCACTTTCTCAGTGTTTCTGCCAGCTATATGTTGCTGCTGCTGTAGTTGAAATTAGTTTTTGCATTGTATTGCAGGCTGTATTTAGCCTGATTTTAAAGGGACCTGAGATACCTGTTCATGCTGGCCGCTGGCACCCCAGAGCCCTGTAGAGCTCTATGGTGGATCACCTGCAGGTAGAGCCTCTAGGTTGATGGTGATGTTAGGGACTGTTGGAAAATTTTTCTTACCAAGAACAAGGGACACCAGGTTAAAGACAGACATGCACTAAGCTGTATTAAGTCCTTATATTGTATTTTTCATCTATTAGCATGTATGAGGTTATATATATATATGTATTAATTTTCATGTACATTGGTATTCCCTCTGAGCTGGTAATAGTGTACAATACTGTATCAGTATTTTGTATATATCAGACTAGCTACTGAGTGTTTACAAAACATACCCTTCTGACCCAAACATTTTGGAGAAACCCCAGATCTGTATGTCATCTGCTAGAGAAGCAAATGTTCCTTAGCATCACAAACGCACAGGTTTTTGTCACTCCACCTTGATCTTTAGAGTCACACATCTAAGGCATTAAGTGGTCCAAAACTTGAGTCTGTTTTCACCTTTTCTTTCTCCCCATTTCTGACTGCTACTGATAGTGATTTTTTTTCCCATTTGATGATCCAGGCTGTTCTAATTTCCCCCAGGGTAGGTAAAGCCCCTTTTTGGCATTGTTTGCAGTGGAAAGTAATCCATTTTCAAAGTGGTGCTGGGTAACCTCAGAAGATAGGGTGGAATGCTGGGCCCAGGCTGATACAACGAGGTTGATTAAAGATTCCTATCTCACATCTTGTTTTAATTTTTTTGCTTTTTTCTTTTCTCCTTTTTTACTCTGCTTCTGCCTCGGTGCTAAATTGCAAGGTTAAATATAAACTTTAAGTAGCAAGATGTTCCATGTGCCTTATGTGAGTCCTTTGCTTCCCTTGGTATTGAAGGAATGACTTCTTGTATGTTTTAAAATGTAATTCAATCCAAAAGAAGAAAAAAAAAAAAAAAAATCTCTTTGAAAGCAAAAGGAAAAAAACCCACAACATTTAAATGGAATATAGTCATAGTGGGGGCATTTGCTGTTTTCAGAAGGCCAGTGCAGTAGGGCTGCTTTTCCCGCATGGTGCCAGTGACATGTTAAAACATGCACATGGTTGGTAAGGCACTTCTTGAGATTTTGAGAGAAATAATAAGTAATATTTTTAGTCACAAAAAACACTAAAATTGGTTTTAAAAGTGAATAATTTAAAGTATGTACAGATAAACACTTAATTTAAGAACATGATTAAATGAGTCTCCACTTTGTGTGTCATTTATGCCTGTGCTCAACTGAAGTCATAAGCAGAGCAGAGACTACTCTATAAGTCAAATTTGTGCTTTTCATTTTCTCATGAAATTTCTTGCCAAATTTTGTGCAAATGGATTTTAAAGAGATATACTGAAAACTGGTTTGTACTCATGGAAAAAGTTAAAAATGTAAGGGGCTTAGCAGATATGAATAGGACTAAAACAGTAGCAGTAGTAGTACTAAAGCCCAAAGCATATTGAATTAGATCACCATCAAAACTGGGTGGTATACTCCATTGTTGAGCATCTTGGAAATAAAATGTATTTGCATCTTATTAATTTTTCTAGTGGTATATTTTAAAAATTGTTGTGTGTATTGATGACCTGTTCTGCGTTAA